ATTCTAGAGTGTGTATGTTCTGGGGGGTAGAACTTAGGTCTTCGAGCATGGTGGCAGGTACTTTTACCCACTAAACTATCTCACTGGCCCTCCCCTACAGTTTGTGTTATGATAAATGGGCTTCCTGAAAAGTATCAAATCATATTCATGTCTTGGTAACCACCAGAAATAGAAGGTATGGCCCTATTGCTGAATGTGCCACATTTTTTGGTTATAGTGAGCAGAGAAATAGAGCTAGAGTTGAACTGGGAATTTTCTCCCTACCAGTTGGCATTTGTGGTGCCAGAAGGCTCTATGTAGGCTCTTGTGGGAGAACATGTATCAGTGGTCTCATTCTGCTGTAAGTCATGCTTGCTATGCAATACTGACCTGGCAGGCCCTATTTACCCACTGATACAATAGTGACATGACTATATGTGGGTAACCAGCCACTCTATAATTGGAAGCCTCCTGCGTGACAGGCGATACACATCTAGTACCATAAATCTGGTCAAAAGCCTGTGGCTGATGGGATCATGGATCCAATAAGAACATAAGGCTGTTGTTTCCCTAAATGGACATGTTGTCAAATTTAAATATTTATGTTTATATCCATAGACTGGTGTTTCTGTCAGTCTAGAACAGAAAAGCTTTTTATGGAGTGATTGTTAGAGCTAGACTCATATCTCATCAAATGCTGAGAAGTGACTGTTACGCTCTCAGCTTTGAGCAGGGCATCTTCATCACACATACCCCTAGCCTACAAAACACTGAGAAGAAGGGATAGAGAATCAAGGGATAGGAAGGGGTGCCATAAAATGCTGACACCCAGATGCAACACGGCTCTTAAAATCACAAACATGCAGTAGCAATGGATACTTTTGAAAGACTGGACTCTTCAACATTCATTCACTGCTAGAGGAGGTGGCCATGAAACATTGCCCCTTCTGGAGGAAATATTAACTGTTAGTTGCTGCAGAAGGGTGTGTTATTTCCTTCCTGGAGAACCAGATGGCAAGAAGGAATTCAGAGGGAAAGCAAGTGGGGTAACAGAGAATAATGGGGGGTAAATATAATCATGATACACTGCATATATGCATGAAACTATAAACATTTTAAAAATATGCAACTAACTAAGTACTGTTAGTGGTATTACTCAGAAAAAGACAGATGTGCAGTGTTCAGGATGAGTAATTTAAATAGACTGGCATCCATAGATCATTTCATTTCTTGCCCTGTCTGTTTGACTGTCTGCTTCTCTCTCTCTCTCTCTCTCTCTCTCTCTCTCTCTCTCTCTGTCTCTGTCTCTGTCTCTGTATGTGTGAGAGTGTGTGTGTTGTGTGTGTGTGTATTTGTATATGGATGTGTTTCCTTGCCATATGCATGCCTCTGGAGACCAAAGGACAACTTTGGGTGTTGTTCCTCAGGAGCCATTGATCTTTTTTTATGATAGAGGATCTGCAGCTTTCCCAGTAGGCCTGGCTGGCTGTCCAGTGATCCCTGGAGATTCACTCCCATATACCTCCTCAGCACCTGGAATTACAGGTACAACCCACCATGCCTGGTGTTTTTACTTGTCCTTTCTTTTGCATAGTTAAGTAATAACAAGTTAAAGCTTGGCATGATTACATCTTACATAAAAGCATCTCTCTGGAAGTACTTGTTCCTAGCATTTTACTGTCCTTCATGTGAGTGTTTTAAGGATATTGATTAGGTACAGGCCATGGCTGTACCTACTTGTCTGCCTATAGAGATTATTAGACCTTAGCTTCTGCAGAGTGGATGAGAGTGAGCTGTTCTGAACCTAAGTCACCAGCTAAGCCAGAACAAATGAACCAGCTGATGTTACTTTGTACTATTAGGTAAATATTCACCCACCTTACAGAGATATTTACATGGGCTTCTTCTAGCTAGGATCTGCATGACAAAAGCTAGGCATGATCTGGAAAGTGGGTCCAGGAAGTCTGTTTTCCTCACAGGATTTTCTTAGCTTTAGAACACTCTCCTGCAGGGCCCAGGAGTCCCCAGGAAGCAGGGAAGGGAACTTAGAGATGCAGACTTGTTAGGACTCACCCATGTTTCAAATCCACAGGGCTAACTCAGCAGAGCTCGCTCTCTGTCCTGGCCTAGGCATTGGTAATAGCATGTTACCTGCTCTAGGTAACATGCTCTAAAATCTGAAATGTTTTGGGTACCCACATGGAGCCATATGTAGAATATTTCATATTCCATTCCTGATCTCAATGGAGAGGTGACAGTCCAAAAGCAGATACACTAAACTATAGCTTTACTGTTGGACTGTGAGCTTATGTACTTACAAAACAGTAGATAGCAAGCTTAGATATTGGCCCCACCCCCAAGCTATCTCACAGTGTATAAAGGCATTGCAAAATCTGAAACCTGAAACACATGACAAATGTTTCAGGTAAGGGACATGACCTTGAAGGAGCAACTTGACCTTGGCCTGCTTTACTGTGCCCCATTTAGCTTTTTTTTTTTTTTTTTTTTTTTTTTCCCTTAAAAACTACAGAGCTCTGTTCAGTGAGCAGAAGCCCCACCCACATTGCTAGGGAGGGCAGAGACAAGGACTCTATTCTGTTTTAGATTGGGCAACTGTCGGGAAAGACTTTGAAGAGGTGATATATGGGTAAAGACCTGAAAGGACCATATAAATAAATGGAGTAGGAATGTTTTAGGAAAAAGGGACTTGGGGAAGATAAGCTAAGGAGGAGGTGTGCTAGGGTATGCAGGAGCAGCTAGAGTCTTGTGTGATGGGGGTAGAGGAAGGGAGCAGGGGAGCCAGGGAGGATATGGGATGGACAGTGGGACTCCGGCTAAGGACTTTAGGTTCTATTATAAGATGCTAAATGGTTTTGAGCAAGGAGGTTACTCTTGTGAAAGGCTGACCCTCACTGTTGCCTGCCAGGAGAATAGACCTTGGGAAGGTAAGTGTTTTGAAAGGGGAGCATGGGGTGCCTCTGTAGCAGCCCAAACTATGGGTTTGGCAGGCACTGGTAGCTTGATGAAAGCTACAGCAAGACCATAGACTCTCCAATCCTGGGATCTGGATTTTCAATATGGAGCAGGAGCGCCCTGTGATTAGGCAATTTGGGAGACATTTCTGAACTGGCTTCATCACTGGAAGGTGCTGGTAGAATGAGATCATGATGTAGAACCATGATGCACAGGCAGAGAGGGAGGTCCAGGAAGATGCCTAAGGAAGCAGAAAGTGTGATCTGGCACCAGAATGGCCTGTCTTGGCTTCTTTTGTACATAGTAACAAGGTTAGAATATTGACCTCCTAGGAGAGTGTTGGGGAACAAGCGATAGTAGACTGTGGATAAAGGTGTTTGGTAAACTGTACTCTGAGACTGGACTTACAGGAATCAAGGCATCATCATCATTCCTCAGATACAGCTGCCACAGAGGGACTCAAGCTTCCCTGACTCTAGACCCTAGAAGGGTGGCCGAGGTTCCACTTTCTGGTTTTAGTTAATGGGACAGAAGTGTGGCGGGACTGAGGGCAGCTCGGAGAGACCGCTGTAAAGAGAAACTACCTCCCAGCAGCCTCACCAGCCCAGCCCCTCCTGAATAGTTTCCTCCATGACTCACTTTCACAGTTAAGCCTCCTGGAGATGATACCTAAGCCCCAATTCCAGCCCCAAATCCTATGGGCTTTGGCTTCCAAAAGCCAGGAGACATTTTAATTTTGAGGTTGCACCACTTGTTCGCAGAGGATCCTAAAGGAAACTGTGACATCCCTCCCCAAGGCACTGCCTCTCCCCACCTGCCTGTGGCTGCTAACTGCATCCACTTTTCAAAGTCCAAACCTGCCTTGCTTCCTGTTTATTAAGCCTAAGCTCTTGTAATTGCCCCTCTGATATGCCCTTTATGCATCTCTCCTGGATTTCTGTAATCATTGCTGTCACCATATCCCAGAACTTTGATTTCTTACCTTTCTGCCTCTCCTGTCCCCAATCCTTGTGGACAATGATGGTCACCTCATCAGCCTTGACTCATGGTTCCCATGCTGTTTGGTGTCATATCAGTACTCAGCCAATGGAATAGGCTTGTTTCTAACCCTATCAACCAAGGTCTTTTTTTTTTTTTTTTTTTTTTTCAATGTCCATTTGCTTCAGACCGAGTGGATTACCTGGGAATCTACTGGGAATTATCGGGTAATGAGCATGGCTAAAGTTTTCCCTTTTGTGATTGACTCTGTGTATGGTAGTCACTGTTGGGTACTTTGGAGTCACAGACACTGTCCTGAGTCCTTTCCCTATGGCAGCATACTCACTGAACCTGTTAAAAAGCAGGTGTCCTGGCTCTGGTTTAGACAAGATGAAGCTGGTATTCAGATGGATTTAGATAACTTAGCCAAAATGTAGAGGCAGGCCCTGAAGCCTGGGCTCCCTGTTCATGGGTCTGAAGTCCTTGCTTCAATGTTTTCCCATCCCTGGATTCTCCTCCCCTGTTCCATAAGGGAAGTCATACCTGGCCTGAACATCTTTGCTAAGAGCCTTCACACACACTTCCCATTTATGAGGCTTGCTTCCTGCACACGTCCATCTTCCTCACCACTTCTCCATTGTTACTAGAAGAATGGTTGGGTCATCTTTGCTCTGGTGAGTCCCACTCAGAGAGGTTAAACATCCTCAATGGCATAGCAGGGGCATCTTCTTGCTGTTATTTCCCCAGAGGAGCTGGACCTGGGCCAGAGCCTGACACCAAACATGCATTCCTGAGTACCTGCAATGGGGTCTTGGGGCCTGACCCCAACTTGGCTTCTGTGAGCTACACCTTAACCATGACAGACAGGTGGGCTTCCTCATCCTATTCCACTCATAGTCTTCAGTTCTATAGACCTCACTTGCCACAGCTGACTAGGAATAGACTCACACTCCCAGGCCAGGCCAGAGTGCCATCTGCTACTTCGTGCAGATCTGTCTGCCAGGGTGGCCCCTGGAGGAATTGTGCTCAGGTTTCCCCACCCTCATAAAGGTCAGCTCTGGCAGGCTTACCTAGATCCATTCATGTGGTCATACTCCCGCTTGACATTGACCCTCACTGGCTGGTTGATCCACTCTTGCTGTGGTGGCAGGGGGTTGATTTTGTGAGGCTGCCCGTAGTCAGGACTCCCCGAAGCAGTCATGTCTGCCTTGGGGAGATGGGCTGCCGCTCCGTATGCTGAATCGAAGAGGGACTGGTCGTCACTCACCACCGACAGAGCCTCCTATAATCAGGAAAAAGAAACAAAATTCCATGTCATTTTTCACCCAGGGTAATGGCAGCCATACTCTAAGATCTACCAGTGACACGGGGCTGCCCAGTCATGAAGTCACAATTGTTCATGTTTAACTGATTTGCAGTATTAGGGGCAGGCTTACCCCTTCCTAAGTTTAAGGAGTTCATTGTAGATGACCCTGGGGAGATAGCATCTGAACAAGGTGCACTTGTTGAGTGTGCAGGCTAGGAGTCTCATAAAGGGAAGTGGAGGTGGGGAGGCAGAGCGGACGGCACAAGTGTTGGTTCTGGTTTCCAGACATAGACAGCAGAATATTTTACTAACTGTGTGGGGTAGTCAAGTTGCTGGGAGAGAAGAAAATGAGTATTTGTTTCACAAGTGAGGCCATGGAGAGCCATTAGAGAGGTTGTCTAGGTCTGGACCACACAAGGGAATCAGGGAACCCAGAACTTCAGCTAGGTCAATCTCAATGTCCTCCTAGGTAAGTGAGAATAGCCTTTTGCTGAATTGATAGGTTATTAAATGGGCAATTCTGGTCCAAGTGTTTGGAAAGAACACAGCGGTGTGCTGAGAGCTGGCTATCAGGTGCAAGTATGTCCTGCAGGATCAAAGTGTTGATGGTTCAGCCATACAACTTAGGAGGAAGCTGAGATATATAGAAGAGGCAGTCAGTATAAGGAGACTGTGGTCTTCTTGTTCACACGGTCCCATCCTCTGATCCAGATGAGGCTTTTGGTAGTGGGTTGCGAAAAGCAACCTTATTCTTCCTAAAGACTGTGTGCCTATCAAAGCATGGGGATAAGATTCCCCCCATTCCTCCAAATGACGTTTGACCAGAGGAATCCAAGGTCATGGTCTGGAGTACAGCATTCACCAGAGCCAAGTAAGGCACAAACAAAAGCTGATCATGTTCCAGAAGAAAAGGTAGCAATCGATAGCTACCTCATCTATACATTCTATTACATGCAATCCAGTTATAGAAGAAAGAATACTATATGGGAAATAGTTATAGCAACATCAAGCACAGAGTAATACTCTGGAGATACTAGCAATGATGACCATTAGTATTTCAGTAGAGGTTCTGTTGGATTCTTGTCCAGTGCTGGATTCTGCTCCCTCTCAAATTCACATGCCAAAGCCCAGCCCAACCCCTTATACTATAACTCTACTTGGGAATAAGGCCTTTAAGGATATGGTAAAGTTGAAAAGAGAGCGTGAAGGTGGGCTCTAAACCAAACTGACTCTCTCATTGTAAGAGATTTGGACACATGAAGACCCCAAGGATGGCTGTGTGCTGAGGACTGACCACAGGAGGGAATGTAGGGTGAATGACTGTATGCAAGCCAGAGCAAGAGGCCTTAAAGGAAGCCAGCCCTGCTGCAGCTCTGACCTTGGATTTCCAGTTTTCAGAACTGCGAGCAAATAAATTTATGTTGTTCAAGCCACTCAGCCTGTGGTGTGTTGCTATGGCAACCCTGTCTTTACTTAAGGACACAATAATAGATGATGAGACCTTTTTAAGTCTTGAGTTCTGTCCACTTTCCCTACATAATTCATATCTCTGCCTGGAATATGTTCTCTAAGACAAAAACTCTTGGTGTGTCTTGTTGTCCTTCATTCAGGCCTAAAGCATGATGGGACATTTCTGTTTTCACCTGCTGCCCCTGTATAATGTTCAGGGGAAGGCTGTGGCTCTGGCAACCATTTGTATTTTGGTTATTATATCTATCTGCTCTTCATTTCAGTTAAGGGCCTGCCCTGGCTTGGTGTCCCGAAGAAATTTAAACTTCTAGTGTATACCTCCAAGTTGAAAAAACAATGTAAAGTTATGGCTTTTCAGAGGGCTGAGCATGAATCTTTGATATGATTTGGGTGTTACCCAAGATTCATCAGTCTCTCTTTTGACAACAAAAATGCAGACCAAGCCCCAGCTCTGTTATAGGAAGAGATGCTATCTATCTAAACAGTGTCTGCTGGAGAGAGTAGTGTACACACCTGGTTAATTGCTATTCTGTCCTGGGAGTTGCCACAGAATCCTAGAGATCTGGGAGGCAGAAACAGACATGGGGATGTGTGGTGAAGAGTGGATGGTCCCTCTCATTACTGCCATAAAAACAGGGAGGTCAAAAGCAGGAAAAGGCAGGATTGCTGAGTCCAAGGGACTCAGCAAACTTTCCTGAAAATGTTCTGAGTGTCTGGAGCTTTTAACATACACAGACACACAGATACACAAGATACACAGACACAGACACATACACACATACAGACACACAGATACACAGATGCACAGATACACAAAACACATACACACACAGACACATAAACACAGACTCTGAGGTACACAGACCCAGATACACATAGACACAAATACACAGATACACACATGGACACGGACACACACATTTCCCACATATACATGTGTGCGCACACACAGTTAGGGGACTGATCCTATTCGCAATCATTGCTAAAGGTCTTTCTTCCCATAACAGTGTGGAGAACAGACTCTGTAGATGAATGAGGCTAGAAAGAGAGAGAATAAAGGAAAAAGGTTTGTTTCTTGGCTGGCTTTTGGACTGAATCTGAAAAATTGAAAGTTGCCAATAGTAATACAGAAAACTTTTGGGGAGATGAGGTGCCAAACAAGTTGATTTAGGGCATACGTGAAAAATTACAGTTGTGTAGGACATTCTTACCATGTCTGCAAGGAAACAATGCCCCTTTGTCATTCAAGCCAGAGCCCATGCCCTCAGTGCCCTGCTTCTTCCACGAGGCACAGTGACAACAAGAAGCCCTTCCCAAACTGCTTTGGAGAAAATGGGTATCACTGATGGAGACAGGAGAATGGGAGAGTGCAAAGAAAGGAACTGGCTCTGGGTGATAGTAGCAGACCTTTGGATCAGCACTGGAGACCAGCAGGAATCACCATGGGGAATGAGATGTGGAAGCTGGTACCAAGGTGTAGCTGCAATAAGCCACTGTGCCAGGGAATTTCCATTCTCCCTTGTATCTCTGCCTCATCAGCATATGCTGCCGCTTATTGTGTGCTCTAGAAAACTCTCCACTTGAGCTTTAAAGTTTTAATGTTTGAACTCAAAGCTCTTACTTGTACTTAAAAATCTTTATAGGACTAAGCATTGGGCTGTGGTGAGTGAGATGCTGGTAACACCTGTCTTTGGTGCAGCAGACTGGATATAAGAATATTGATGGGGAAGTTCACTACCATTCTTGGGGAAACTCATCACCATTCTTGAGGGAGCTTACCACCACTCTTGGGGGAGTTCGCCACCATTCTTGAGGGAGTTTACCACCACTCTTGGGGGAGTTCGCCACCATTCTTGAGGGAGCTCACCACCATTCATGGGGGAGTTGACCCCCATTCTTGGGTTTTAATGAGTTTGCTTCTCCTATGGACTTGGGACAATGTTGATTACATTCAGAATATACCGGTTATTCTTGAAAAGGCCTGTTGGGTCCATGTTGCTTAAAAAGTGGATTCCCTACCCTGTGTTATGCTGAGCTTTAAGATTTCTTATCACCTCAACAGTGGTCACTAGAAGGAAGCCCCAGACAGGCTCAGGGATTGCTTCCTCAGAAGCAATTTCCCACTTCCCATGCTATAGTCAGGATAGGCTGGTTCCTCAGCCCCAGAGCTGTAGACCCAGAAAGTGGCACCTGGTCCCTGCCCCAAACTGTTAAGTTTTCTAGCACAATGGTAGACTGTGGTCTACTCCTTTTCCCTGTAGTTCTTCCAGAAGAACTGCTTGTAGTAGGAGACTGAGCTCTGAACCAAAGCAGTGGAGTGGCAGATAGCCTGCTTTTGCCCAGAGAAACTTCCTTCCCACAATCCTCAGTTGATCCAAGGAGCCAGCAGATATATATCACCAAATGACTGATGCATATGCCCTGATGAAGACTGCCTTCCTTACCTAAGTATGGATAAGGTAAGCTTCCCCTAACACAATAAACCACATCTTAAATTATAGAAACAAATAGAAACAGCAGACAATTAGCAAAGCTCTGACTAATTGGAAAATTACGTTTACATGAAATGTCTAATGCAGCCCTCCTAGCAATGATGAGAGCTATATCTGTTTTCACCTCCTAATTTTTTTTTCAGGTGATTAAATGGACATTAAGAGAAGGGAAGGAACTTGCTTGTGCATACAGAAAATGAATACAATGTGGATTTCTGTGTTTGCGCACAGAAGCATTACTACTCCCTGGTCCCTTTGTGAGAAAATTTTGTTTCTGGTTAGACACTTGGCCCTCTGAAAGTGACTTTTGTAACTCGAATCTTTGGAGTAAGAGAGGGTCTAGACACCAATCCAAGTGCCATTTGTTGTCCCTCTAGTTCCCAGTTCCAAGTCTTTATACTGTAGGAACCTTGTTTTCTCACCTACAGCTTGAGGATGTCAACAGGACCTAAACTAGTAGGTTGTAAATGCAAACAGAATTACATGATCTGAGTAAGCTGCCTAATTATCTCTTCAATGTTCTTGAAACATAGTAAATAGTTACACATTTAGATTAAAGCTACTACCAAGAGATGGCTCGAGAATGTTTGTCATGGAGATGGAGGGAGAGGACCAGATGGAGCCTGGGTAATGCTTCCTTCTTCCCTGGGTGTTTTCTCAAAAGGTCAATAGCTCAAGGAGAAAAACAAATTTGCTTGGTTTCTTTTATTTTTTCAAATGTGAGACAACCTTCGTTTTCTGACCCTAGACGTCAGAGCCCTGGATGTGACCTTGGGACTACAGGGCTTGCAACAGTGGCACCTGAACTCCAGGGTCAGGCACAGCACTAACTCCCTTGCCTCTCTACTTGCAGATCAGGCATTTTGAAAGTTCCAGGCATCCATGATCACGTGAGACGATTCTTCCAACAAGCCTGTCTATAATCTATCCATTGACCTGTTTCTCCTATTAATCTTACTTCTCTGGAAATCTTAGTTCAGATGGACAGCTGGCTCCAGAGTGCCAGGCAGAAAT